AAAGAAAGAAAGAAAGAAAGAAAGAAAGAAAGAAAGAAAGAAAGAAAAGTTTTAAATAAATAAATAACAAAAACAAATGCAAAAACTACAAACATGCCAAGAAAATAACTTTAATTCTAGTGGAGACTGAATACATGATCTTGAAATTATAAAAAGAATTCCCCATCCTTATTTATAATGAGATGAGTCTCTTTGAGGGACTTGAAGTGCTTCTCCCCAGATTTTTCCCCACCTCAGCTAAGTTGCAACTTATGAAATTTCTGTTGAATCTCAATTTCTTTTTGTTAGATAAAAGTATGCCCACTAACAATATTATCATAATATTTCTATTTGAAGTTGCTAGTAAATAAAGTTATTGGATTATTTTTCTTTCATGGTCTTTACTTTCATCTTGTGGTGCCTCAATAGCCATTTTGCTTAGATCATTTACACAACTCCCAATTCACATTTTATTTGGACAAATGTGGAGAATAAACCTAATCTTTTGAAAGCTCCACAAATAAAACTCTTGATGCTTTTAGTCACAGTATTTGGGTTTTTTTTCCTACCTGCTGAAAAATGCAGTAAAATCAATTGCAATAAGACCCTTTTTATGTCAATTAAGATTTTCAGTCATCTAGGTTTTCTGTGTCCAAGAAAAGAAGTGCAGTTGCCATGACTCAACTTCTAGACAAAATACTTTAAAAAAATCAAAGAAGCTTAAAACAGCCATGCATTTTGCTATCAGCAACAAAAAGGATGAGTCAACTACATGTTATTTCAAAGCTACACATAGTAAAAAAAATACTGTTTTTTAAAACTACTAATAAGAATATAGATTTAAACAATGTGTTATGTATGCCAACCTAACTGCCACGTTGTCACAAATAATGCCAGTCTGCATTTCAAGTTTCTCTGTCTCATGCAAAATTTTGAGGTAGGTAAGTTGGTCTTCTTGTCATGTAGGCAGACAAATTCCCCCTTGCAAGACAAAACAAACTTTATTGCAGAACTACTGAAAGAAAGAAGGAAAGTGGCTACAAGTTAGGAAAAACAGAAAACAGATCAGATTAAATTTGGAACTTTCAGAAAAAAAAGAGGAAGTCCAGCAAATTTAAGTAGAAAGGGAACATTGGTGAGGACTTATTATGTAAATTCTTTAGTTAGCATCTATTCTAAGCTTGATTTGTTTTATGTGCAATCACATCTTTCTTTCTGAAACATTTAAGAGAATTGGGTTTTCTGTTGCCTTGAACCTAACCTCAGAATAGAGCTGAAAATGTTTTGTTTATTGAGTTTATTCAAGTAATATTATGTGGAGTTTATCCATAATTATATTGCATTGTATTTTTTTCCCAGATGAAGTTTAATTTTGTCTCTCCCTTGTGAGATTGGTTTCATTTCCAAAAGAGGGATGATGGATCTGAATTATTTTAGTCACATGTCTAGAGGTTATATAGCTACTAGCTCGATACCCATGCTTCGCTACAAAACTATGTGGTCAGGCTTAGTTTGGGGGGAAGAAAATAAGGGAGAAAAAAATTCTGTCTCTGCCTACCAGCATCCATCGGTATTCATCTGGCTAGCATCCTGTCAGTGTATGACAGAGTTGAGGGCTGTTGGGAAACAGAATATTTGCTGTGTGCACAAGGAGACAGCAAGGAGCCTGGGCGTGGCTTAGCTCAACTGTTCTGTACTAAAGGTGCTTGATGCTGTGAAGCTAAAACTGAAACTGAAACTCCTCTTCTCTGCTTATGTTCTGCATTTGGAACAGATTTCTTTTCTGGTGGGGTGGGGGAGCATCAGAGCATGTTAATAATAATATACAAAATACTAATGCTCTGATGGTCATTTTGAAAAATCCTTTCTTAATGAATACTTAGAAGCCAAGAGGAACATACAAACCAAATTTCAGGTTTATAGGCTTTATGGCTCTGGAGATTTTGTGATGATGCATGAGTATTTTGCTTTTATATATAGTATATAGATAGGGTGGAATTATTTTTATTTTCACATTTTAGTTGTCAATAATATAGTATGGATTCTGGAAGAATTATCTTTTCCATATATCAGAATCAGAAGAGGATACTAGCTTAGGATATTCAAGAAACTTAAATGAAGGAATTTCTAAACTGGTAGGTATAATTTCTAAGCAGGAGCCATAAGACCCGAAAGGCTTATGAGGCAGCCAGTTTGAAAGTAAATCTTATACACAGTAAATTTGAGATAAGCTTCTATAACTCTATAAATCATGGATAGTCTTCCAAACTTACCTTAGATTAATCTGTAAATTAACTAACATCTCTACCTTCTTTTCTAAAATTAGTAAATCTTGCATTATTTTTCTGGACCAATCTGAAAAAGTTGGGAAAAATGTCCTTGCTCCCCTTATGGAAATATTTTGTTCCAAAATACATGAACTTTCACATTTCTTTTCCTTAAATCAGTAACTTATAAGGGAACCCTGCCTTCTTATATCACCACCGTTAATCTCAAATACTCAGAGCAATAGGTGATATTTGGGCAATAGGTGATATTATGTTGTGGAGTTAGAAATAAATCAATTCAACATGGGAAACACAAAAGTACACAACTGTTTTCAAACCAGCTCAGGATTTTCATGTAGAAGAGTATTAGAAGTCCTACAGTTTTATAAGCTTTCTACTCCTCTGTAAATCATCCATAGTTGCTAAAAAAAAAAGTACGAGAAAGGGGAAAAGTGTGCATATCTTATATTTCAAGGTTCTATATCTATGAAGGAAAGCAAAATATTTCTAAATTAGATTGCTGTTTTGAGACTGCAAATTAGATTGGATTCTAAGAATTTTATAAGCATATGTTTAGCAACTGTTTGGGAGTGACAGAATACCTGGCCAGCATTATTATTCCAAGAATGGCCTTGCTTTGGGCAAGGTGTTGCTAGGCTACAACAAGTGGCAGGGCCCTTTCTGGTTGCCAGGGTGAAGTGCCTTCTGCTCATCCTTGAGTCTGTAGAAGATGGTGGATAATGCAACAAATGCAATTTCAAACAATATTTGTGAAGGGCTCTGTCTCTCGCTAATCTTTTAAAAATGTCATAGCTGGACTAGACAGTAGCTGGAAGCTTTTACGATAGAAGGAAATGTTGATACAATGTCAGTACTAAATAACATGTTTTTGGGGGGTAAAAAAATCACTTCCTCACATAATGATTGGTTTGTGGTCTAGATGAGGAAGGGAAAGAAAACAAAGGGTAGATCCAATTTTTCAATGTTATAGAAACTTAAAACTTGGTGTTAATATCATTTGTAACAATATTTTATTCAATATTAGTAAATACCTATTAACACTGGGGTTTTGTCTTTTTGTGCTGAACAATGTAATTTTGCTTCCAAGAAGTACGCTGTCTCTAAAGAAACAATGAGGCATAAATACTCCTTACCTCAACTATACTGAAGCCAGGTGCTGCAAATACAAGAAATGCTGCAGATTTCAGTTCCCGTAACTGTTTCCCATTTTGATGAAACTAAGCCAAATTAAATACAGGCATGAAACCACTGGCTCAGTTCTCTCTAGCTTTTTATACAAAATAAATGAAAAGTAAACTAAATAAGGAATAGTAGAGATTATCTCCTCCCAGTTTTTTTAAACCCAACCTCCTTTCATCTGTTCACCAGTTCTCTACCTCTAATCTTCTCCCAAATATGATTAAGCTGATGCAGAACAAATCCCATTTCTACATTTTCTAGTTTCTCCGCTCTTTGCTCTGACTGAGAGTGACTGATATAAGCAGGCTTCTCTTACAAAACAATCCTTCTAGTTGCACTCCAGATCTATCCATTTGTATGGAATCCTCCATATATCCTCCCATTTACATCCTGTCCAGTTCTGCGGTATTAACCCTGGGAGCCTCAAGAATGTTCTGAGGAAACCAGGAAACCTGGTGGCTCCTCAGCCAAAGATTGCTGTTACTCGCTCTCTTGAAGTAGTCATCTGCCTCAAAGGTGATGATGATAGACCAGCGCGCGCCCCCCAACCTTTTGGGCAACAGGGACTGGTTCCATGGAGAGAGGTTTTTCCAAAGATGCAGAGTGGCCATGGTTTCACATGCTGCCTGCATCCCATGGATGGGGTTTTGCATGTTTGCATGGCCTGGTTGCTGGCATGCCACGGACTGGTGCCAGTCCATGGACTGGAGGTGGGGGACCCCTGTGGTAGACAGTGGAAATGCAACATAATGTTTACATCGGAGCCCTGGGGAGGCTTCATTAGGGACAAATATGGTTATCTTCCAGAATGGAAACAGGGCATAAACCTAGTCTTGAATGGTGAGCAGGATAAAGGTGAAGTGTAGCGCCCAATTTATTTGATGCATTTTCCTTCATCCTCTTTCCCTTTTTGCCTATAAAAAACGCATTGGTCACTTTCATGCACCAGTCAGTTATGATGTTCAACAGTTCACTTATTTTGGCTATCTTGTGCTTTCTACCCTGCGATAGGTTAGATTGACAGTTGACATTGATGGCTGACTTTTGCCTCTCTGCCCGTGCAATCACAAGAATATCAAGCCAGTTGATTGTGTCTGCAGGAGCAAAAACTTTTTGAGACATGAGATTGTAAGAAAGCAGCAACATCCCCTCCCATAGTCTGTAAATAAATGAAAGCTGCCTCCTTCAAATTCGGTCGCTTAATGAGTGTAGCTATTCCCTGGTTAGGGGAACACTATGCCCAGTTCAAAAACAGGCTTCGTGCATTTTAAAACAAAAGAGACGGGGAAATTTTCGGGGGAAAATACTCCGCTGTTTCTGCGGGTTCAGCATATGACTTATGCCCGCGGGCAGGGAGTGTTTGCACAGGCTGCGTATGTGCGCATTGGAGGCGGGCCGGGCCGGGAAGTGATCAAGACAAGCTGGGGGTTTGGTTTCAAGTTGGGTGATTTTATGAGATAGAAATTGCAGACAAAAGGTGTTTGGTTTTTTTTTTTTTTTGAATGTTGTACTTATCTACCCGTGCAGCGGCCGGACTTCGAGTTTTCCTCCGCAGTTTCGTGTGACCGGATTGTCTACGAGAGAGAGAGAGAGTGAGAGACAGAGCAAAAGTGTTGCGAAGACTTTTCCCTGAAGCCTCCGAAGAAAGAAAATCTAACCGGAAACTTAAAAGAGTAATTTTAACGCTTTTGTTTTGGCGCGGGGCAGACGAGCGGAGAGGGAAATTGCTGTTGGGTATTTTCCACTCGGGATTTTGTCTTTCTTTTTGCACCACGCAAGTTCTTATTTAAAGATCGAAACTTATTGCCCTTCCCTTAAACAAAAAAACAAAAACAAAAAACCACTGTACGGCTGCATGAGAAGGGACAGGCGCTTAATTTAGAGCTGGCTGTTTTACACACCCTACCCGAGATAAGCTTGATGAAATGCAGCAAAAACAAGGAATGGCTCCTCCTCTCAGAACTTGGTTGTGACCACGATTTCCAGCAGGCCCGGACCCCGTGGCAAAGTTTGGTTCTTCAGCAGAGAAAGCCCTGACTTCTTTGACGGTTGGTTGAAAGACCATTTAGTTTAAGGAATTGACGCTTAAAGCCCCTTTTAATTACTCTCCTTTCGAAAGAAAACCCCAGACTATTAAAAAGGTAAATGGGGAGGGAACTTAAGATAAAGGCTGGTGGTCGTCCCACTTCTTGCTGTAAAACATTGTTTTTCAAACTTGGGAGTCCGCACCTCTTAAGTTTTATTTATTTATTTGTTTGTTTTTGTTTGTCAAACATGTAGTATCTAACTAGTAATAGTAATAACTAGTATCTACATGTTTGTATTTACTCCCATTGGGAGTAAATACAGATGAATGGGGACAGTAAGACAGGGACGGTAGGTGCTCTTATTCCTAAGGACCTCTTAGGAATGGGGTGAGGTCCACAATAGACAGTTTGGGGTTGAGGCCAACTTTGAAAAACAGTGCTATAAAGTGAACTCGTGTCCCAAGAATAGTCACCTATGAGTAAAGAGCTATGTAAGTTGGTGTCCTAATTGGAAGTGGTTCAGTTTAAGTGAAGGTTGGGATTGAACCTATAATGCTGGGCTTCCTCTGGAAGTTGTGCGCCTTTCTGTTTTCCAAGGACCATTGGGTACTTTTCTGGTAAGATTGTACTTCATTTTGCTACTGAAAGAAAACATGTACCCATTTGCTCACTGGTTGTTGCTGCTTAACTCTGGGCTATAATTTCCCCACAATGGGTTAATATCACATATGCATCAAACATTTATAAGCTGAACGAACCTTGGCAAGACACTTTAAATCTGTATTCAGTCCACAGCAGATTGTTCTCATCTGCCTCTAAAGCAGAGTGAGGTTTAAAGAGTGAATTATGGTGGTCATTGCTATGTGATTGAAATAGGGGCAGTATCAAAATGTTTTATTGTTGCATTTGCCAGCTGGTTTGACTGGGGCATAGGTTACTAATGAATCAAGGTGCTTTTAGTAATGATCCTTGATTTAATAAGATGCATAAATCAGATCTGTGTGTCTTGATAAACGGGTAGCATTTTTTTTTTTGCTTTCACAATCTGCTTACTAATGTAATAGTGAAAGGAAAGCTTGCTGTTTAAGAAAAAGCCATCCCTCTCAATAGGTGTGGAAGGTGTGGCAGGGATAATACTGTAATGTATAACAAATGCCTGAAATTAGAGGCTGCCACGTTGAACAATAGGTTATGTTGAACTTGGCTAGGGACCAAGGAAAAAATGGATTAGAACACTAATGCCTAGTATTCTATAGGCCAGAAGGGCATTCAGTTTGCTAGGAATTTTGGGAATTCTAATTCCAACCAATCAGGAGAAACCTGGGTTAGGAAAGAAAGAAATGGGCTGTCTCTCTTCCAGCTCACCTTATTTAAATGAATGTTTAGTTACTTTTTGGATAAGTTCCCTTGAAAATATTGTCATTAGAGCAACTAACTTTTTGCAATGTCAGTCTCTTAATCCTTTTGAAGTGCTATTTTGTAGAGTTTTATTGCTCTTGCCAGAAACACTGTGAGTTTCTTCATTTGCATACAAATCATCCCCAGGGAAAGTGGCATTGGACAGAATCCAGATACTAAGGGTATATGATAGCCCAAGGCAAAATGCAAGCCAGTCTACATAGCTTCACCACAGATAAGAATAGCCATTTAGCCTACCAGAAAATGAAATTGTTTAGGTGGCACTGTTCAAACAAAACAATGCAAGGTGGAACTATTTAAATTCCTGCCTACTGATTCACACAAGCAGGATTTATTTATATAAGGAAAATATTGGAGTTTCTGGAGGAACAAAGAATAGAATACTTTATTGGCCAAGTGTGATTGGACACACAAGGAATTTGTCTTGGTGTAAATACTCTCAGTATACATAAAAGAAAAGATACATTCGTTACAAATCATGAATCATAACGTACAACACTTAATGATTGTCATAGGGTACAATAAGCAATCAAATCATACTAGGAAACAGTCAATATAAATTGTAAGTATACAAGCGACAAAGTTACAGTCATACAGTCACAAGTGGGAGGGGATGGGTGATAAGGAGTGATGACAAGATTAACAGTAATAGTAGTACAGACTGTAATAGTTGAACAGTGTTGAGGGAATTATTTGTTTAGCAGAGTGATGGCTTTCAGGAAAAAACGATTTTTCTGTCTAGTTGTTCTGGATAGTCTCAGTAATTCCTATTCTTACATATGAAAGATATGTCTTGGAATATAACAGGAGTAAATAGTAAAGAGCACATTTAAATTTAAAAGAATCAAAGTATGAAATATGGTCACTGTATTATCGTGTGTGGCAATCCAAAGATCTGTGATGTAATGTTTCTGTTAGCCCAAAAGTATAGAACAGACTAAGAAACAACAGTGCCATATAGGTCAGGACAACTTTTACTGTAAGTTACAGCAATAGACTCTTGCAAGTCTAGCATCCCTTCCCTTCCCTTCCCTTCCCTCCTTTTATCTTCATGTGAAGTAGAGAGGGGCTTTTTGAGATGTTTTCTCAAATTATCTTCTCAAACCCATTTTATCTGATCATTGCCTTGGTAATGTCTGTTTCTCTTGTTTTTCAAGGATGCTCCCTATGCCCTCTAAAGTTCAGTGATAGGGGAAAAATGGGGGAGGGAGCAGAACTTTGGGGGAAGGTTATATATAAATATGACTCAGGGAGAAATTATTCTGTTAGTAGATGGGATCAATCAGATGGGACTACATGAGTCAGAATACTAAAAAAATAAAAGATTAGTCCATCTGCAAAGCCAAAAATGAATGAGAGTGGTGATTGGGCTAACATTTTATTCTGGAGTGATGCATAAATCTTTACATGTGAACATGGAAAATGAATAAATCCAAAAACATATATTGATTTGATTGTTTATGATGAACTATTGAGAGCATTCTCAAGGATGCTAAAGATGATATAAAGATGATGTGTGGTTCTAAATATAGGGCAGACCACTCTTTGCTAGTGTCAAGAGTAGGTTTGGAGGAATTAGATGTGGAAGAAAAGAAATGTAAGAAATAGAATAAAATTACAGTAACCAGAGAGAGAGAAAACATGGAAGACCTGAATTAATAAATATTAGAAGATTGTGTAATCTCTCTTAATAGAATAAATGGAAAATGGGCATAAAGGGATGAGGTCTGAAAATTACTGTCTCAAATAACAAGGTACATGTAGTCATTGCATAACAGTAATTAGGACTATAATTTCTATTGCTAAGTGAAGTGGTCATAAGTACAATGTTACATGACTGCAATTTCGGTAATCCCCCATTGCTGATGTTAAATGAGGACCACACAGGTTGCTAATGACTTCCAACTTCCTGTTACCTTCCCCATTGACTTACCCTTGTACAAAGCTGATAGGAAAGCCTGCAAATTGCACACACTGAAATGATAAGAAATCCTGGCCAGTTGCCAACTGCTCATACTACAATTATGTGACTGCAGGGACACTGTTACATCTGAAATTTTGAGGACTGGTCATGCTACCTCTCATTCAGTGCTATTGTAAGTGTGAATACTGACCATTCAAAGTTACAACATATCTGAAAAAAGTGACTTAAATCATTTTTCACACTTTTGACTGTTGCAGCATCCCTATGGTCACATGATTAAAATCCAAATGCTTGGCAAAGGGTTCATATTTATGACAGTTGCAGTGTCCTGGGTCTGGCGATCCCTTTTTGCTATCTTCTGACAAGGAAAGTCAATGGGGAAGCCAAATTCACTTGATAACCATGTTACTAACTTAACTACTACAGTGATTCACTTAACTGTGGCAAGGAAGGTCATAAAATGGGACAAAACTCACTTAACAAATGTTTCACTTAGCCACATAAATTTGTGGTCATAACTTGAGGATAGCTATATTAAGTTATAACTATATACCTATAGTTGCTGAACCAATCGTCATTAACCAAGGACTTTCTCTAGTTGGATTTTGATAGATAAAATAGAGTGGACTGTTGCAAATTATACTCTAACAGACACTAGAACGATTGATTGACTACAGATCATCAAGTCAGTGCTTAACTTTTTGCAACCACCTAGGTAGAATTTCTCCAGGATGATCTGTCCCTAACCTGGTCCTTCAGGTTTTCAGATGTAGGTTACTTATAAAAAGGGGAAGAATAAACACTGATAAAATGGAATGAGTAGTATCTGGTTTATGGTGAGGAATGAATTTTGAAAGACGTGAAAATGCCTGTGTATAAGATCTTGCATTGGCTCTCTTTATTATATGGAAGTGAGAGTTGGGTGTTTCAGAAGAAACATGAAGTCAGTAGAATGCATGAGGAGTGGATTAGTTAAGTGTTTATGGCTAAATAAGAGGTGATAAAGTTTAGAATAAACTGGACAATCCAGGCCCCTTTGGGCCATCATTTCAGAAATATTTCCTTACCTAAACAATGAAGCAGAATGATCAAAGACAGGCAAAAAAGAGGATTTCTGACTTCCTGCTTGCTTCCCCAGTGAGTTTTCTGATAGGAATCTGGCATCAGAAATCCCCCTCCCTTCATAGTAGGCAGCTAAGTGGCTGCTGCTGGGTGGGGAAGGGAGTGATAATAGGCAAAAACAGCTGGGGAACTGTGATGGAATATTGAAAATTAAGACCACATGACTACAAAAGCCCAGCAGCTACCAGTATTACTGAAGCAGCCACAATTTGTCCAAATTTCATGCCCTCAGGAGTCATGGATCCCAAGTTATATATTCTGTATATTAGCCCATTTGAGTTACCCTGGTTCAAAAATGGTTGCCCTATGATGCAACTTTTAAAGGTCATGATGAGTTTTAATGATAGACAAACAGACAGACAGAGGCACATTGAATGCAATCCTAAGTTGTATTAACAGAGGGATACAATCAAGATCAAGTGAGGGACTAATACCACTCTATAAAGCCTTAGTAAGACCACACCTAGAGCACTGCGTCCAGTTTTTGTCACCACATTATAAAAAAATATTGAGACTCTAGAAATAGTACAGAGAAGAGCAACCAGGATGATTAGGGGACTAGAGGCTAAAACATACAACAAATGGTTGCAGGAACTGAGCTTGGCTAGTCTAGTGAAGAGAAGGACCGGGGAGACATGATAGCGGTCTTCCAATATTTGAGGGGCCGCCACAGGGAGGAAGGGGTCAAGCTATTTTCTAAAGCTCCTGTAGGACAGACAAGGAATAATGGATGGAAACTGAACAAGAAGAGATTTAACCTGGAAACAAGGAGAAACTTTCTGACAGTGAGAACAATCAACCAATGGAACAGCTTGCCCTCGGAAGTTGTGGGAGCACCATCAGTTAAGACTTTCAAGAAGAGATTGGACTGCCATCTGTCAGAAATGGTGTAGATGGCCTACAAGGTCCCTACCAATTCTGATTATCTGTAATTCCACATTGGGAATGAAACAAGTATACTGATCATGAAGGCATGATGTTGAAATTGCAGGGGAAATACGTGAAGGAAAAGCAAACAGGTTGAGAAAAGGAAGAATGAAAAAAGTATAATTAAGGTTGATGTGAATCTGAAGAAGAGAAAGGATAAAACTGGAACCAAAATCTGCACAACATGAATAAAGAAGCAAATATAGTATTCATGCATAGAAAAGTATGAGAAGACTTAATAAATAGCATTAGTGTTTAGCTAATTCCCGCATGCTTTATTTCTTGGGTTTGCATGACACTGCTTACTCCAAAAGGGAATTGTATCTGTCTGTTTGTCTATATCTATGTACACAGTACATTCAGAAGGAAAACATTTATTTTAAAAGAGTATTTTTTCCTTTCAGGAAAATGAGGAAACTTTTGAAGTGCTGGACATGCTTGCCTTTCATCCTTTGCACTATCCCAACTAATCGTGGGTCAACTCAGAATATCTGTAAAATCACAGATAAAATGGCAGACTGTAGTCATTTAAAGCTTTCTCAAATTCCCTCCAATCTCCCAGCTGATACAACATCATTGGATATTTCACACAACCAGCTGAGAACACTGCTGCCTAAAAACCTTACAAAGTACAATCAGCTTGTTTATTTAAATGTGGGATTCAATTCCATCTCTAAACTAGAGATACACTTGTGCCTCAGTTTACCTTTGTTAGAGGTATTGAGGCTGGAGCACAATCAGTTGCGCACATTACATGAAGAAGTTTTTACTTCCTGTACCAATCTGAGAGAGCTTAATTTGGGATTCAACATTCTGAATACAAAAAATGATCCTTTCAAAAATCTGAAGGTAAGTCCGAGCTTTGACCTGCTATTTTGTGAGTCCATGTGATTGAAAGTTTTACTACACTAAGGGTAGCATGACATGACCATATGTAAATATTTGACTGAGTTATACTAGCATTGTTTCCCTAAATAATAATTCTTTTGACTGGTATTGATTCTCCAGCTTTGTTGATGGAGCTATTTCATGGAAAAGGAAAAGATCTGTTTAACAGAAATGGATTTAATGCTTTCTGTAAACACTGATTTTTTTTTTTTGCTACAGTGATATAAGAGTGTATATTTATTGCTCCCAAATGTCTCCTTTTATGTTTTCTAGCCTTATGTTTGTTGTTATTTCATATTCTGCTTTAAAATATAACTGCACGATTGACATATAGATATGCTGACTGTTTTGATTCAGAATTAAAATTAGCTACATAATTGAAGATAAACATACATATATAATAGATAATTTGCTTTATTTTCTCTTTGCTAGAACTTGGTATTCCTGGATGTTTCTCATAATCACCTCAGTTCTACAAAATTAGGGTCTCAGCAGCAATTTGAGAATCTACAAGAGCTTGTGATGTCTCAAAACCAAATTACAGAATTAAATAAAGAAGATCTATACTTTCTTGGTAACTCTTCATTAAAAAGATTGGACCTTTCATCAAACCCCATAAAAGAGGTAAACAAAACCATCATCCTTAGAGTCTTGGTGGCCTGAAAGAATATGGATGAAAGTTACTTAGCAATAAACAGGATCACCCGTGTCTGTCTCTGCCTCTCTGTCTCTTTCTCACTCTCCCTCGTTCTCCCTCTTTCAAATCTCACATTATTTGCATGAAAATCCATATTTGCCACTTAAAAAATAATTTTATTTTTTAATAAAACCACATTCTGCCAGCCCCTTTGCACATAGCTCCAGCCATTGCCTTAATTGCATTAAGGTAGGTATTGTCTTATTTGGACCTGGAGTTTCTGTGAATATTGGAGAGGAAGCAATTTTTAATAATTTATTTATAAAATTTAGAAACTGCCCATCGCCCTCACAGATGGACTCTAGGTGGTGTACAAATAAAATATTAAAACATAAAAACTGTGTATAAGAGCTGCAGTGATTAGACTGCAGAACTGCAGGCTACTTCTGCTGACTGCCAGCTGCCTGAAATTTGGCAGTTCGAATCTCACCAGGCTCAAGGTTGACTCAGGCTTCCATCCTTCCCAGGTGGGTAAAATGAGGACCCAAATTTATGAGGGCAATATGCTGACACTGTAAACTGCTTAGAGAGGGCTGTAAAACACTGTGAAGTGGTATATAAGTCAATGCTATGCTATAAAATTTAAATATGAGGCAAGGATAGTTAAAATTCAACATTAAAAGTTAATTAAAAGGCTTGGGGAAGATTTTCAGGCCACTAACCATCTCCACGGCTGTGTGGTCCTCTGTAAGCCCCACATAAGATGGCAGAGTCAGGTTCTTAGATATTTTTGAAATGGCGGGAGAGTGGGTTCCCACTTTGCTTCTGGAGTGGGGGGGCATGTTCCAAAGAGTGGATGCAATGGCAGAGAACACTCTCTTCCTGGACCACCTCCCAGTTGGAATTCTTTAAATGACAAGGTCTGCAACATGACCTCCCTGCCTAATCAGGTGGGATGGGCTGAAGTCATAGGCAGAGACGTTTTGTAGGTAAATTGGTCCCATGCCATGAAGGACTTTAAAGGTATAACCAACACTTTAAATTGCACTGGAGCAAACTGGCACCCAATGCAGCTTGCACAGCAAAGGTGTTACATGCACCTTTCTCACAAGGCTGAATTCTATACCAGTGGAAGCTTCTGCCTACTTTTCAAGAGTGGCCCCATCTAAAGTGCATTACAATAGTCCAAGCAGAAGATGACCAGAGTATGAGTGACCAAGCACAGTGATTCCCTCTCCAGGAAAGGGCATAACTGATACACAATGCAAAGTTGATCCTCCTAGGTACTATACAACTGCTACCTGCTCTTTGAGTAGGAGCCGTGAGCCTAGGAGGATCCTCAAATGATGCACTGGGAGAGTTGGCTTAAAATTTGGGAGTGGTGATGGTGGGAAGACTCAACATTTCTGTCATGTGGAATAATGTTAAATCATTTTAATTATTATTTCCAGTTTCAACCAGGCTGCTTCCATGCTATTAAAAACATATATGGCCTTGATCTGAACAACGTACCATTGGGACCTGATGGCACAGAGAAACTTTGTTTGGAATTAACTGGTACAAAAATACAAAACCTTTCAATGAGCAAAGTGCAACTTTCACGGATTTCCAATTTGACCTTCAGTGGAATGAGTAAAACAAACCTTAGCATTTTAAACCTATCAAATAATTATTTGTCTGTTATTGAAAATGCCTCATTCATATATTTTTCAAATTTAAAAGAACTAAATCTAATGAATAACAATATTACAAAGCTGTTTTCTCATTCTTTTTATGGGCTTCACAATCTGAACTATCTGAACTTGGAAAATTCACATGTCAGAATAATTAATTTGGCATTCCAGTGGCTAGCTCACTTGAATTACCTTATTATGGACGGTAATAGATTTCTAGAGATTACTCCTCATACATTTACAGGTTTAGAAAATTTGAAAAACCTGAGTTTATGTCAGTGCAATATAAATTTAATAACAAATATGACATTTGCTTCACTTGCAAATTCTTCCCTGCAGTTTCTCAATCTAACAAAAGCTGGAATCATTTACATCAAGCCCAAAGCTTTTTCTTGGTTAAGGCAACTAAAAATGCTTGATTTAGGTTTAAATAACATTAAGCAAAAACTTACAGGTCAGGAATTTCAAGGTCTCAGTAATATCGAGACTCTTTATCTTTCATATAACTATCAGTTGAATTTGACAAGTGAATCATTCACTCTTATTCCAAGCCTTCGAAAACTCAGAATGAGAAAGGTACGTTGCAGTAATCTTGCAATCACCCCATCACCATTTCGTAAATTAAAGAATTTGACAATCCTGGATATGGGTAACAACAATATTGCTAACATAAAGGATGATATATTTGATGGACTGCATCAGCTTGAAATTCTTGACCTGCAGCACAATAATCTGGCTCGACTTTGGAAACACACCAACCCAGATGGTCCTGTTCTCTTTCTCAAAAATCTTCACAACCTCCGTCTACTGGATTTAGAATCAAATGGCTTTGATGAGATTCCCCACAAAGCTTTCTATGGCTTATCTTTATTGAGAAGCTTGAATTTAGATTCCAATCTCTTAAATCTGCTTCCCAAGTTTGTTTTTGATGATCTGACATCTCTGAGTTTTCTCTCCCTCCAGAAGAATATGATCACAGCTATTGATGAAAACGTGTTTGGTGCTGTTTTCAAACATCTAAAAGTATTAAATATGGCTTCAAATCCATTTGACTGTACTTGTGACAGTATAGCTTGGTTTGTTAATTGGCTCAAAAGCAACAAAACATATATATCAAATTTAAACAATTATCAATGCAACACTCCACCCAAATATCACTCTAATTCAGTAGCACAATTTGATACTTCTATATGTGATAATGCCCCCTTTAAGCTGGTATTCATTTTGTGTAGTACTATTGTATTATTGCTCATCTTTATAGTTCTGCTTGTTCACTTTGAAGGATGGAGAATTAAATTTATGTATACTGTGGCTGTAAACAGAGTATTGGGCATCAAAGAAATAGACAGACAAGAACAGCAATTTGAATATGATGCCTACATCATTCATGCCAAGAAGGACATGAACTGGGTATCTAAGAACTTTATTACCCTTGAAGAAAAAAATCAACCAGCCATTCGATTCTGTTTAGAAGAACGAGATTTTGAAGCTGGAATATCTGAATTTGAAGCCATTATCAATAGCATACAGAGAAGTAGAAAGATCATATTTATTGTAACTAAACATCTCTTAAACGATCCCTGGTGTAAAAGGTAAGTTGAAAACATTTAAATAATTTCCATTTTATTTGGATTTTTAGGGCATGTCTTTAAAGCTGTTTCTGTGAATTGTCAGGATTTCCAGTTAAGGAATCCTATTTTCTTATGTTTAAAAGAAGGTGGTGGTAATCCTTCAAGTTAAACATGCATTAGGACATGCTTGTTTATCAAAATCTACATTTTCACAACTTTTGTGATAAAGTTCACAACTCAACAGTATGTGCATAAAGCATATATTAATGAAATATAACCCAATGCACTTCATAGAAGGGGAGAACTATTTAAAATAAATTCAAGGAAAAATGCATATAAGAATGATCATAGATTTCCACTGCTTGTACCTTTTCAGTCAGAATTATGCAAAAACTCTCACCCCCACTTCTCACGTAGTGTTACTATCTTTCCCTTTATATAAAAGCACAAGAACTGAATTCTTCCAGTCATCAGGCATACAGTGCATTTAAAAAGTATTCAGACCTTGTTCACTTTGTCAATTTTATTATGCTGCAACCTGATTCTACAATTGTTGAAATTCATTTTTTCTTTCATTAATCTACATTTACTGTAGTACCCCATAATGACAAAGTGAAATAAGAATTTTAGAAATGTCTGTAAATTTATTAAAAAGGGGAAAAAAAGAAATATCACATTGGCACATTGACCTTCACTCAGTACTTTGTTGAGCACCTTTGGCAGCAATTACATCCTGGAGTCTTTTGGGGTATGGTGTGACAAGATTTGCAGACCTGGGATTGGGGCGTTTTCTGCTATTCTTCAGTGGACAGCCATTTTCAGGTTCCTCCAGAGATGTTCAGTAGGGTTCAAGTCACTCTGGGACACTCACAGAATTGTCCCTAAGCCACTCCTGTGTTGTCTTGGCTGATTGCTTAGGATTGTTGTCATGTTGGAAAGTGAACCTTCAGCTCAGTTTGAGGTCTTGAACACTGTGGAACAGATTTTCATTGATGATATCCCTGTACCTTGCTCCATTCAGCTCACCCTGACCAGTCTCCTAGTCCCTGCTGTTGAAAAACACCCCCACAACATGGTGCTGCCACCACAATGCTTCACTGTTGGGATGATATTGAGCAGCTGATGAACAGTGCCTAATTTCTTAATTTCCTATAGACATAACGTTTATAATTGATGCCAGTTCAATCTTGGTTTCATCAGACCAGAGAATCCTGCTCTTCACAGTCTTGAAAGTCCGCAGATACTTTTTTCGCAAACTCCAAGTGGACTTTCATGTGTTTTGCACTGAGGAGAGGCATCTGTCTAGCATTCTGCAATAAAGCCCAGATCGGTGGAGGGCTGCAGTGGTTGTCCTTCTGGAACTTTGTGCCATCTCCACACAGGATCTCTGGAGTTTAGTTATGACTATCGGGTTCTTGGTCACTTCTTTTACTAAGGTCCTTCTCCCCCAAATGATCAATTTGACAGGGCGACCAGCTTTTGGAAAAATCCTGGTTGTGTCAAACTTTTTTCCATTTGAGAATTATGGAGGCCACTGTGTTCTTAGGGACCTTCAGTGCAGCAGAAATTTTATTGTAGCTTTCCCCAAATTAGTGCCTTGCAATAATCCTGTCTCTGAGCTCTGCAGGCAGTTCCTTTGACCTCATGGTTTTTGCTCTGCTATGGTACATATTATCAGCTCTGAGAACTTCTATAGAGAGGTGTGTGCCTTTCCAAATCATTTGCAATCAATTTAATTTACCATAGGTGGACTCCAAGATATGTCAGCAATTATCAAGAGAAATGGGAGGCATTTGAGCTAAGTTTCAAATATTGTTGCAAAGGGTCTGGATACTTATGTCAATGTGATATTTCACATTTTCTTTTTAATAAATGTACAGAAATTTCTAAAACTCTTGTTTTCAACTTTGTTATGAGGTACTGAGTATAGATTAATGAGAAAAAAATGATTTTCAACAACTGTAGAATCTGTATAAAATTGAACCATATCCATATTTTATCATTCCTTCACTCACAGTGTCTACACCTGCACTCTTATCATTTTTTAGTCTTCTTAATATTTACAATATTCTTTTTATTATTTTTACCTGGATATTAAAAAGGATAGCTTAGTTTGAATATTTTTGCACTAAACAGACAATCGGACTTTGTGTCTTAAGAAGTTCCTTTGAATTCTGGGATTCTATGACACTAAATGATTTAAGTCTTTTAAAAGTATTACTGATTCTAAATGATTCGAGAGAGTCATTGAATCATAAAGATACATGTCTCTGAAACTTATAAGTCTGCTAAGCCAAAACATGTCTTTGTTTTCTTTAGGTTCAAAGTGTATCATGCTATACAGCAAGCCATTGAACAAAGTCGGGATTCTATTATACTAATTTTTCGACATGATATTCCTGATTACAAGTTAAAGAATGCACTTTGTTTACGAAGAGCAATGTTCAAATCTCATTGTATCTTGGAGTGGCCTGTGCAGAAAGAACGTCTGGATGCATTTTACCAACAACTGAAATCAGCGCTTCAGTCCAATAGTAGGATAATATAATTTGTTTTAAGAACATAGTATTCATTTCTGGGTAATTCATTCAGTGGTTAAAATATCACACTAAAAATATGATATTGAAAAAGAAGTAAATGTAAAACCATTCTTCCAGGATTTTTTTTTCTTCTATCTAAAATAGGAGAGTGTTGTATCCAAACATACGAAATGAATGAGTGGCATTCAGGAGCATCAAATGTTTGCTATAAAAGACAATGAAAGTATTTTAGAGGTGAGACCAAAAAGTAGGCTCCGTACTGAATAAAAATGTAAGTTGATTTTAAATCCAGAACTAATCTCTCCTCTTCCGTGTGGTCCATGTTAAAGATTGTCCACAATCGGCTTTTACTGCTTATTCACAGCTGCCTCACTCCTCTGTCTTCAGTGTATGCCAGCCTTTGCCTTAGCCACATAGTCTGACCTGGGTACCATCCTGCCCACTGGTCTTCACATGATCTTCCTCTTCCTATTCTCTAGCCACAGTGGGAAGCTGCCAACTTGCCCTTTTCTGACTGCTCAAAACCAGCTGGTCTATACACAGTTCACACATAGAACAATTTGCACATTCCCAATACTTCAGTCTCTCCACTTTCTTACCCAGAAATAGGAGCCACAAAGTAAGTTAAGCCTTTGTTGATGCTGCATAATCTTACTGGAAAAAAAGAAATGTAAAAAGAGTACAATTCCAATACCTTACGCACTAGAAAAGAGAGCTTGGTGAAAATACAACTGATACAGCAGTGTCTAGGGCTAACTAGTTTAAGTAAAAGATGATAATACTTGCTAGTAGGAAAGAAGAAAATGTTCCTTGCCTGAATTGTTCCATCTTCTTTTGAGTAGCCAGAGCTGGAAAAAACCATATATTTTAGGTATTTTGGTCATTAAAATGGGTCTGTTTTGTTCCAGATATGGGTTGTTTCTGCTGAGGCAAATAAGTGGGGGAAAAGGTAGCAGGTTTTCCAACTTATGCCAAATCTGAATTCTTTTTTTAAAGTTAAAGATTTGTATTAAATTAATAACATGGGGTAACGTCAGTATACTTGGGTGATTGTTTATAAAATTATATACTGAGAGTAATGGCAAACTAATACTAAGTTATTGCTCAGCAACAAGTTGTAGAACTTGAATGGTGATAATGATAATGATAATCAAGGGCATTAAGTTAAAACTGGTTTAAAGTATTTGCTTTGAAGAGTTACTATATGATAAGATTTTAATTAATCATTTAGTGCCTATATTTTTAGAAAAAAATAATAATAGAGTGCGGTATAGTGAAATATATATTAAAAACCAGTACTTTGCATATCCTAGTAAGTTATTTCAAACTTACTATTTACAGATAGTCAACTGAATGTACATTAGCCATATCTGTGATTTAAAAATATGTTTACTTGTGTCCTTCCTTGAGACATATGCGATGGGATCTAACGGGATGTGTGACCTGACTACACCTCTTATGGATAGATTGCTCTCTACAAGACATATGATTCCAATTAATTTATCACTGTATTTGAATTTATGTTCTCAGATGTAACTGGTGACCCAAACTGGTCCTTCTATGAACACAGGATTCTTTTCATTCATGAGATGAGCTAGGATCCATAACTGTTACATGTTAAAAACCATGTAAAATGTTCAGATCCTACATCCATAGCAATAAGATTGTTCTCATATTTTGTTTCTCTTCCTCTCCTAGGAACTAAGCATAAAAGATAATATAGATAATGTGTTGAATGTATTTTAATCAACAGCACATATACTTTCAAGATTTATGGCTTGATTTAGAAAATCTTTAGCTTCCATTCATGTTGATGACATTTTTAAACAAAAGTGCATATATAAAATAAAATTGATATGCATGTTTAATTAGATAATTTGATATTTTGGTAATAAAATTTAGAAAGAACAAAGAAGTAATTTTTTTCCACAAATTGATTTTTCGTATATGAAAATGGGACATACTGGAGAGTGCAATACAACTTGCAAAAAGCTGCAGGAAGCAATACAGTGATGTGTTGATGTCGCCAGGAGTGACATTTTTCCAGACTTTCTGATGGAGAGTTTTAAAGTGACAGTGGAACTTATCTATAAAACCCAATATTAATCTAGGGTGCTACACTGACCTGACGTATTATCATTCTTATTAACCTGAATTAGTCTAAAGATATTTAATTCAGAACTAGATCAACTTCTGTACATTGACTCAAGATATTTTTCCATATAAGCAATAATAGAAAAATATCCAATTGTTTTGTGACTATTAAATACTAAAATTATTTATAGTCTTATAAATAAAATCAGCTGGCATATGTGAAGCAAAGTGCCAATTTCAACCATTTATTTTTATTTATTTTGATTTGTCAATCGCTTACAAGATAATAGGTATAATAAGTATATACATAGTTATGAATACATGAAATGGGTACATATAAGAAAAATAAAAAACAATAGGACAGGGACGGTAGCATGTTGGTGTGCTTATGCATATTAATTAATCAATTAATTAATTACCACCTTATTTATGCACAGGCTGAAGAATTACTGTTAGGGAATAATATTCTAAGACTAGAACACCTTAAACGTTTTTTAAGTGTTAAATTGTGCAATTACAAAGCAATCTGGGATATTAGAAATCATTGGCAGGATGCATTCTGAACAGTTTGTCTAAGAAGCATTTTGCAAAGAAGCTAGAGGACCCTGGGACAGCCATTTTGTGAGAGGGCCCAAAGCAGGGTCTAAAAATCCTAACAATGCTGTTTGAAACGGCCGTCTATTTCAGCAATTACTCCTAGACGCTCCCAGCAATATTCTAGGCCTCCTGAGAAAATGAATAGACTCTCTCCAGGATTGGTTTCTTTTCCGCAATCCCTACCACATTCAGGTAAAATGAGCTCTGAGGAGGAAGGATTGGAGCGGAGTAAAAGTACCGGTATACATATATTGCATGCACACGAAAATGGAAATAACTGCTAAAGAGAAGCTGTCTGCTTGCCAACGCAATCCCAAGGCAGAGCCTCACAGAAGAAGCATTCTGTTTCGGGCAGAAAGGAGAAATTCTACTCCGGCTTATAGTTTCCTAATGGGCCCCAAACGGACGGCTCGTTTAAAGACGTGTCCGCGAGTAAGGGAAAAACAACGCTACGTCCTCGGTCCCTTTTGCGAACTAGGCTAATTCGGGCGGTTATTTCCAAAGCATACGAGGGAGGCGAACGAGGGAGAAATCGGTCCACGAGAGGGTGGCACCTCAGGGGCGGGAGGAAAAGCAACCCCACAAGGCTCCTCTACCCCACCTAATCTTTTCCTCAAAGCCTGGAAGCGCAGCCACTCGTCCCTCGCTCCCGATGGCGAGCGCGGGCTGCTCGGCGCCCAATGACCTCCTCTCTGCTCCGTTTTTGTTTAGCTTAGCAACCGCCGCTCCCTCCCTCGGCAGGCGCCTGGGTAGGCAGAAAGGCAGGCCTAGGTAACCCGGGTGGCAGGCTGGCTCTCCCTCGCGCTCAGTCCCCAGCCGTTTGGAAGCCCCGCCACTGGCCAAGAGAAAGCGACCCAGCCGCGACGCCTCTCTTCTGGCCGCCGCGCCTGCCGAAGTCCGTCTTGGCGCCCTGAAGCGGCGGCACCATGAAGGTGGCGGTCCTCGACCTGGCCACCGTCTTCGCAAAACTCTTCAAGCCCGCCGCCTCTTCCTCCTCGTCGCCCTCTTACTCGCCCGCCCCCGGCGCCCCACTGTCGAAACTACAGCCTCTCCTCACAGCTTCGGCGTCCCCGTCGGGGGCCCCGTCTTTGCCCGTTCGCTGCACTGTCCTGGCCTGCGCTGGGGGATCCTCTCTTACAAGCGTAGCGGCGGCGGCTCGAGCGTCTCCCGGGGGCAGCAGCGGGTCCGGGGCAGCGGCGCTAAAGCCTTTGGCGAGTGGCAGCTGCGCCAGTGGAAGCAGCTCTCCGCGCTCGGCCAGGGAGCCCGGGGCTTGGGCCGCGCCCGCGAGCAAACCGCTGCTTTTCGTGACTTTGCCCGACATCGGCGAAGAGGGCGCGCCGGACGCGGATCCCCGGGAAGAAACTGCTTTGCCCAGGCAAGTTGAGGGACCTGAGCGGGAACTTTATAGCGGTCGGCTCCTTTCTCAAATGCTGGTCGACATTACTTTACAGTCAGGTGCTAAGGAGAATCATTTCCTATTTTTCTAAGGATCTGATCAGACCCAGCTTTGGAAAGAAGACAGAGGGATTTAGGTATATGTGTCTACTATCACATCACAGTAAATTACCATTTGCAGGATATCCTTAAGGGTTGCAGGGCATCCAAAGTCTTCACAACCCTATTCCACTTGGTACAGTAGATTATCTTCCCTATGCTGACTCATAAGTGGGCTCTTGTAGAGAATTCAGGAGACCATGGTTTGAAAAGGTGCCGATGAAGGCCAGGAGAAATGAGCCCTGAAACTTTAGCAACCTGTTTGGGGATCAGTAACAATGATGCATAGTCTTACTTAAATGGTTCAAAAGATCACAGGAGAATCACTTGCTGGTCCTGGTGTTCCATTTACTGTATTGAGATTCAGGCCTCAAAAAGAATCGGGAAATGGAAGAACAACCTGTCATGTGTCAAACTGAAACTGCATATACATGACAGGTATGTTGGCATCTAAGTCACAATCCTTGTGGGGCAGGAACCAATATGAGCTAGCTTTCACATTGACATTATTATTGGCGAATTTTGTTTTAAAATTCCTTGATGTTTAAAAAGAAAATACATCATTGGCTCAGCAAAGTCATATATCTAGATTTCTTTAAACTAAATTACTGTAGAAAAAAATGACGGTTTAGTAAAAAATTTCTCCCCTCCATCAGTTGATAACAGATGTAGCTTGCAAATTGGACTGTAATTCTAAAATTAGTGGAAACCAGCCCTTGCTGTGACCAAGGCAGACCTGTTGGGTGCAATGGTACATTGTCTTGATTCTCTTTGCTATGTTTCTTTATGTGTGGGAAACAGATGAGGTTGTCATGGAGATAAAGCAAATTTGGCATTGTTGTGCTGTTCTGGTGGTGCTGTAAACTATTACTAAACAAGTCTCATTGAACAAAACGCAGTTTAGTTATCCATCAATACTTAGCTTTCCTCAATCTTCTGTGCAGATGGAGATCTTAGCCTGCTAGTTTCTTGGTGGATAAACTTTCTTTACTTCCAGAAAGTTTATTTTTCTCTCTGCAAATAATAACATCATAATGGGAGGGCCCTCTTAGATTCCCAATATTTTATTGGTGGGGAGAAGTAAACTTGGATAAATACAATAATGGCCCTTGTTTTCCTTGTCTTTTCTTGTTAGTATTTCCCAATCTGAAAAGCCTCTTTTATCCCATCAAGTTCCAAATTTTATTCTATTTTATGTTCCTATATCCTTCAGTGGGGTAAAGGTTTACAGTTTTCCTGTTGTTTCTCAAAGTAGAATTTGAATAGTTACATTAGGAGGACATGTTCCATAATTCAAGGAATGACATTTCAAACAAAATATAATACAGGCAACCCTCTACAAGTCCTACGGTGGTGGCTGTATTCCAGTTTCACAACTGCACAACAATACTGCAGCCATTTAGAAGTGCCAGAATACCAACAGAAACTATAAGTGTGAACTCTCTTCTATGTCATTGCTAATTGAAAGTTGAGAGAAAGGAAGCTTGGTAAGTGAGTCAAGTTCTTCCATCAATAAAGAAGCTAAGTGCATTCCTCTGGAAGCAGAGAGGGAGGGAGGGAGGGAGAGAGGGTTTGCAAAAATCAGTTGAGTATTGGTTGAATTGCAACTGCTGATGTGAGAGCACTGTATATTAGACTGGCAAATTTCTATTTCAGTTCTTGAGGTCAATGAAATTGAACATGAACTGACATTTTTTTTTTAGGACTTGCTTTCAGCAGACAGAAAAATCTAAATAATTTTTCAGTTGTTGCTCAGAACTTCAAAAAAAAAAAAAAGGAGATCCTTCACACACTTGAATCAATAGTTTTCACCAGATTTATAAATAAGTTATTTACTTAGGATTCAAAGAGATAAAGGAATAATCCGAACTTTTGTACTTTTTAATTTGCCTTGCTATCAATTTGGATTAAAATTTGATACTAACATAAGAACTTGAAACCATACTAATTTCAGATTAATACCTTAGAAGACCTAATTTAATGGTAAAATTTAATGCTAATAACAGCAGAGTTTTCCCCCATAAAGAGATCATTATTTTATCTTTTAATTTGGAAAAAAATGGTGATGATCTTAATAATTTTAGAATGAGATGGACGTTTGTACATCTGTTATAAAGAAATTGTTGTTACCTGCTTTTTAAGATTATAAACATAGCTGAGGAAATCTGAGAGTTGAAGTTAATGCATCTTAAAAGTATCCAAGTTGAGAAATACTGGTTCTGGTTCAATTAATCTGGAATTCATTTGCCTGATATTTTTCATGGAGACTCTTAATCTCATTCTGAAGATTTTTAGAATAAACTTGATTGTAATTAATGGGATTGCTTTTATATACTCAAGTAAGTTAGGGCTGTAATTTTTTTAAAAAATCATTTCCTAGGAAGCAAGCTGCCGACTTTGTTCCTTATCTCTCTCTACTATTCTAGATGTCT